CAGCTGTAATTTTAAAAGCTCTTCAAAGTTGGCTGGGAACTTTTGACTAATAGATGTTTTGCTCTGGCATGGTACTCCTTCACACTTCAGTGGTCACCCAGTCAGTCTTATTTTGACCATTCTGAGATATTCTAAGTTTGGCAGTTAGGGCCTTGGGTTGACTGACAGTCTTCTGTTAACACACTAACTTTTCATTTAAATGCTGTATCGTTGTACCATTAAGGGACAAGGATTCAAATTTATGGTAAAATTTTGTCTGGGGTGCAACCATTACAAATAATGAGGAGTACTAATAGTATGAACCAGGTACTGTCTTCCCAGGCCTGTGTTTGAACATGTAGCAGCAATGATAATACATCTGTATTTGCTGCCTAGTGTGGCTAACAAATTTATTCTCTTGATTGTAAAAAACATCATCATTTCAGAACTAGTAAAATGTGGGAGCGAAAGAGGCAAAATAAGTCCAAAAATCAAGGAAGGTACTTACACAGTTTCTGTCTCACTGATGTATGTGTCTCCTCCACAAGTACCACACACTGTATTATTACTGCAGCTTATTTATTGAACACACCCTATGTGCTTTACTCTGTAGACACTGTTCTAGAGTCTGGAGATAGCTCTGTGAATAAAACAAAAATTCCTGTCCTAAGAATCTTCCTTGTGGGATTCTTGTAGGATAATAAACACTAAAATTATATAATAAGCTAAAAGGCTAAAGTGCTTTTTTTAAAAAAAGTAAAATGGTAAGTAGAATCTCAGGAGATGTAGATTGCAATAGGAAGAATAAGCTTCATTGAGACATTTGAGAAGAGGCTGGAAGAGGGTGAGAGTGAGCCAAGAGGATCCGAAGGAAGAATGTTCTAGGGAGAATGAACAGCCAGTGCCTGTCATGTTTGAGAACAGCATCCAGGAGGTAAGTATAGCTGAAACAGAGTTAACTAGGAGTAAAAAAAAAATAGCAGCTTAAGGCTGGGCGTGGTGGCTCACGCCTGTAGCCCCAGCACTTCAGGAGGCCAAGGCGGGTGGATCACAAGGTCAAGAGATCAAGACCAGCCTGACCGATATGGTGAAACCCCATCTTTACTAAAAATACAAAAATTAGTTGGGCATGGCAGTGTGTGCTTGTAATCCCAGCTATTCAGGAGGCTGAGACAGGAGAACTGCTTGAACCTGGGAGGCAGAGGTTGCAGGGAGCCAAGATCGCACCACTGAACTCCAGCCTGGGTGACAGGGCAAGACTCTGTCTCAAAAAAAAAAAAGGCAGCTTAAGTCAGAGAAGAAATGGAGGTCTGATCATTATTAGGGCTTCATATTGGAAGTTACACAAGAGATAACTTTTATCAAGTCATGAGACATTAAAGATAACTTGTACCAAATATCAAGGAGAATAATTACTGAGCTCAGCCATATTGAACCAAATAAATACTTCTTGTTTTAAGCCACTGAGTTTCAGGGTGATTTGTTATACATATGCTATTGGTATTCTTGTGTGAGAATAAAATTATACAGCCAGATTATTCTTGTAAAAAATATAGTAAATTTAACTTTTTTTGAAGTTACACAGTTCCATGTAATAACATATAAATTCATGCAATGACTACATAATGAGAATATAGAACATTTCTATCACCCTCCAAAATTCCCTTATGTTGTCCTGTTATAGTCAACTCCTGTCTGTCACCCCCAGTTCCTAGCAATCACTGTTTTCTGTCCTAGTAGTTTTGCCTTTTCAAGAATCTCATAAAAATGGACTCGTACAATTTGTAGCCACTTGAGACTGACTGCTTTCCCTCAGCATGATACTTCTGAGATTCATCTTTGAGATTCTTGCATATATGGATAATTAGTTCCATTTTGTTCAGATTTCACTGTACAGTTGTACCACAGTTTCTTTATCCATTCTGTCAAAAGTCGTGTGTGTCGTTTCCACTTTGGGGCAAATATGAATACAGTCATTGTAAATATCCATGAGTAGGATTTTGTGTGAAGATGACTTCTCATTTCTCTAGGGTAAATACTTGGGAATGTGATTGCTGTAGCATATGAATAGCATATGTTTAACTTTATAAGAAATTGCTAAGCTGTTCTCCAGAGTGACTGTAGCATTTTGCATTTGCACCAGCAGTGTATGGGCATTCCAATTCTGTATCCGTATAAGAACTTGTATTGTCAGGTTTCGTTTGGGTTTTTTGGCTATTTTCATAGATGTGTATTGTCATTTCATTATGGTTTTAATTTACGTTTCTCTCACGGCTAATTGTGATCCTGAGCATTTTTTTCATGTGCTTTTTACCATCAACATGTTGTCTTTGGTGAAGTGCCTGTTAAAAATTCTTACCCATTTTTTTTTTTAACTGGGTTGTTTTCTTCTCTTTTTGCTTTTGTTTTGAGAGAAGGAGTTTCACTCTGTTGCACAGACGGGAGTGTAGTAGCTTTTCCAGGCGTGATGATAGTGCGCCACAGCCCTGAAGTCTTGGGCTCAAGTAACCTTCCTACCTCAGGTTCCTAAGTACGTTTAACTACAGGTTTATGTCAGTGTGCCAGGCTCAGGGTTGTTTTCTTAATGCTGAATTTTGAGAGTTCTTCATATATTCTAGGTCACAATTTTTTGGCTAATACATGATTTACAAATATTTTTCTCCCAGTTTACAGCTTGATTTTCTTTCTCTTAGTGTCTTTCACAAACATTTTTAATCTTGACAGAGTTCAATTTAAACAGTATTTTTTCTTTATGAGTTGAACTTTCAGTATCATGGTAAAAAAAAAAAAAAAACTCTTTAAGCTCAAAAAAATTTATTCTACTTTTTTCTTATAAAAGCTTTATAGTTTTACATTTAGATATATGATCCATTTCAAGTTAATTTGTGTAAAAGGTGGAGGTATAGGTTGTGATTAGGTTTTTCTGCATGTGGACGTCCAGTTGTTACCACGTCATTTGTTGGAAAAACTAACCTTCCCCCACTATTGCCCTTTCACCTTTATAAAAATCAATTGACCATGTCTGGGTGGGTGTGCTTCTGCATTCTGGTTCCATTTATCTATTTGTCTGTTCTTTTGACAATACCACAATGTCTTGATTACTGTAGCTTTATAGTAAACCTTAAAAATCAGGTATTGTGAGTCCTTCAACTTTATCCTTTTTTTAAAAAAATTGTTTTGGCTACTCTAGTTCTTTTGCTTTTCAGTATATATTTTAAAGTCTGTCTAACAACTGTCTGTATCAACAGAAACTTGGAATTGCTATTATTATTATTTTTTGAGACGGAGTTTTGCTGTGTCACTCAGGCTAGAGTGCAGTGGTCCAATCTCAGCTCACTGTAACCTCTGCCTCCCGAGTTCAAGCAGTTCTCCCACCTCAGGCTCCCGAGTAGCTGGGATAACAGGTGCCTGCCACTGTGCCCAGCTACTTTTTGTATTTTTAGTAGAGACAGGGTTCCACCATCTTGGCCATGCTGGTCTTGAACTCCTTACCTCGTGATCATCTGCCTTAGCCTTCCAAAGTGCTGGGATTACAGACATGAGCCACTGCGCCCGGCCAGTCCTTGGAATTTTTATTGGAATGACAGTAGTCTCCCTTTATCCATGGTTTGGCTTTCCACAGTTTCAGTTACCTCTGCAACTGCAGTCTGAAAATAGATGAATACAGTACAATAAGATATTTTAAGAGAGAGGGAGAGAGATCACATTCACCCAATTTTTATTATTTTATAATTTTTCAATTTTATTGCTGTTAATTTCTTACTGTGCCTAATTTATAAGTTAAACTTCATCATATATATATGTGTGTATAAGAAAAAAGATAGCATACACAGGGTTAGGTACTATCTGCAGTTTCAGGCATCTACTGGGGATCTTGGAATGGATCCCCCTGTGGATAAAGAGGGACTACTATACTTTAAACATAATAATCATTTCAGGAGAATTGACATCTTAACTTTATGTTGAATCTTCCAATCCATTAACATGGTAGGTTTTATATTTGTTTAATCAGTGTTTTGTAGTTTTTAGCATATGGATCCTGCACATGTTTGGTTAAATTTATATGTAAATATCTGACTTTTTGGAGCTATTAAAAATGGTATTATCTCAGTAACTTTTTCTTTCCAGTTGTTGCTAGTTAATATATAAATATTTCATTGATTTTTGTATGTTGACCTTACACCCTGCTATCTTAAACTTACTTAATAATTCTAGGGCACAGCCAGATTACTTTTAAGTATTTATAAACTGGGAATGGTTTTACAAGTTCATTTTTGCTTTTTTTTAGAATGAAATTCCAAATCTTGAATTGGAAAGTTTTCTTTTTCCCATTTTTCTTTCAGCTTTACTTACTTACGTAGCTTTACTTACTTACTTAAGTAGCTTTATTACTACAGGTTGATTATCCCTTATCCCAAAATGCTCAGGACCAGCAGTGTTTCAGATTTTGGATTTTTTAATTTTTATTTTGGAATATTTGTATATACATAATGAGATGTCTTGGGGAAGAGATCTCAAATCTGAACATGAAATTCATTTATGTTTCATATATACCTTTTATGCATAGCCTGAAGTTAATTTTATATAATATTTTAAATAATTTTGTGCGTAAAACAAAGTTTTGACCAAATTTTCACTGTGACTCATCACATAAGTTCAAGTGTGGAATTTTTCATTTGTGGCATCATGTCGGCTGTCGAAGTTTCGGATTGGAGCATTTCAAATTTCAGATTCTTGGATTAGGGATGCTCAACCTGTAGTTAAATGTTTGTATGGCCTGTTCATGGAAGCATCAGCCAAAAAACCCTCCACTAATTTCAAAGTCTAATTCCTCCCCCTTTGTATAATTAAATGATGGTAATACTGACTAGTTTTATGAAAACCATCATAATGAACATAATCATGAATTTAAACAGAGAATACAATCAGGATAGTTAATGTTGTGACCTTCCTAGATGGCACATTTTTTTGCATTGAATAATTGTTCTGTTTCTTCTCTATCATTTTCTTTTTCCCCATAGGTATTGGGAGAGTTGCTGCTACATCTTTAGGAAATTTGACTAACCATGGTTCTGAAGATTTACCCCTTCCTCCTGGCTGGTCTGTGGACTGGACAATGAGAGGGAGAAAATACTATATAGATCATAACACAAATACAACTCACTGGAGCCATCCTCTTGAGCGAGAAGGCCTTCCTCCGGGATGGGAGCGAGTTGAGTCATCAGAATTTGGAACCTATTATGTAGATCACACAAATAAGAAGGCTCAGTATAGGCATCCCTGTGCTCCTAGGTAGAGTATCAACTTTATTTTCAACTTTTTGTTTCAGGATTGTCTAATCTTAGATTTTGGACTCATATTTTTATCCAAGAGAAAAGTATTCTAAAGCTTGAGATTTGAAAGCCTTGTATTTCAAAATTTACCTTTTTTCTTTGGACTTACATTTAGTAATAAATGACTTTAATAAGTTAAAAATACTTTTTAACCTTAAAAATAGGATCATTGTTCTTATGATTGGATTCAGCTGTAATATACTAGAATGTTTTATTATAGGTATCCAGAAATTAAAATAATTAAAGCATCTGTCTTCTTACACTTAAATTTCTACAAATAATACAGACATACCTCCTAAGTCAGAATATACTATTGAATTGCTGTTTTTATTCAATTTTAGACATGGTTGTATGTTCTGTTTCTTGCTATTACTAGGCAAGAAAGTGAAAATTGGGACTGGACAGAACATTCCAGATTTGTTTAATAAATGTAGCCAGTAATTCTTTCTGCTATTTTGATTGATATTGGGCCCGTAGTCCTGCTTTGTTGCCAGGCTTTCAGCTCCGTGCTGCCTAATACTGTAGCCAGTTGTCACATGTGGCTGTTGAGCACTTGAATGTGATTAATAAAAATTGATATGTGCTGTAAGTGTAAATACACACTGGATTTCAAAGTACATAAAAGCTAGCATTAGTTTAGTAATAATGAAGTTGCAAATATTTCAAATTAACCACATTTGAGCTTCAAAAGCTGAGCCACCAGATTAAAAATGATTAAAACATCATCTCCATTTTGATAAATGTTGTTTAGTGTCATCTGACATAATACAGTTTTTTGGTTATAGTGGACATTTGTATTTTCTTAGATAAATACTAAACTATTTCATGCTAAAATAGTTATGAAAATACATTTTCGTATTATCACCTGGAAAACGATAAGCTTTGTTGTTATTGTGTTGCTTTAATTATTTTACATATTTGGATTAATTCAACTCTGAAAATCTGTTTTTTTCCATGATTCCATGTAGTGGTGCCCAGTCAATGTTTATTCAACTACTGAGGTTGTTGTCTTTGAAAGAATCAAACTTGTGGTTATGGTTTGTGGTCATCAGGTGGCAGAGATCATTGCGGTCCAAATAACCAGATTTGAAAGCTTACTTTTCTGTTCATCATTGACATGGTTTGGCTTGTGTCTCACCCAAAGCTCATCTGAAATTGTAATCCCTGTGTATTAAGGGAGGGATGTGGTGGGAGGTGAATGAATCATGGGGGTAGTTTCCCCCATGTTGATCTCCTGGTAGTGAATGAGTTCTCACGAGATCTGATGGTTTACAAACGTGGCAGTTCTCCTTTCTCTCTCTCTCTCCTACCACTGTGTAAGATGTGTCTTGCATCCCCTTCACGTTCTGCCATGATTGTAAGTTTCCTGAGGCCTCCTAGCCATGTGGAACTGTGGGTCAATTAAACCTCTTTTCTTTATAAATTGCCCAGTCTCAGGTATTTCTTTATAGTAGTATGAAAATAGACTAATACAATCATCATTAACCTTATTTTATTATAGAATTTTAATAGTTCCTTTAAAGCAGTTTCATAATTAATTAATTTACTTCTCTCAGCAACTTGGTAGAAGTTGAAAAAGAGAAAATAAACGCTGCCCTTAAGCTCACATATGTAGTATTAATAGCAGTCTGGCTGTCTATCTTAGGCTAATCCTTATACAGAATTCTTGATTTACATTAGGTTGTTTAATCCTGAGAGCAACCACCTGTGGTATGAATTTATTATTACACTCTTACAAGTATGGCTGAGGGTTAGAGAGTGGAGGAGTTTTGCCTACATTTACATAGGTTGTAAGTGTTAAAGCTGAGGTTCAAATCCAGGCATATCTGACTTCAAAGTCCCAATTCTTCCCCACCCCCAGTTGTACTATCAAATAATATTTTCCTTTGAACTTATTTAAGAAAGAAGAGTTAAAGATATAAATCAGTGCCATTTGCACATTGATCTTTTTAAATTGTTAGCCACAGAATAATCTAACCTTATTTTAATCCCAGTTTAGTAAACAGTGACCTTTTTAATTACACATCATTGTTTTCTCCCCATTATGTGTGTCTGTGTGTGTGTGTGTGTGTGTGTGTGTGTATCACATTTTCTTTTTTTTCTCCCTTTTATTTTCAGTTCAGGGGTACATGTGAAGGTTCATAATTGCATGGCTTGGGGATTTGGTACAGATTATTTTATCACCCAGGTAATAAGCATAGTACCTGATATGTAGTTTTTCAGTTCTCAGCCTTCTCCCATCCTCCACATGCAAGTAGGCCTCAACGTTTATTGTTCCCTTCTTTGTGTCCACGTGTACTCAATGTTTACTTCCTACGTATTAGCATGTGGTATTTGGTTTTCTCTTCCTGCATTAATTCACTAGGATAATGGCCTCCAGTTTCATCAATGTTGCTGCAAAGGACATGATGTTCTTTTTTATGGCTGGGTAGCATTCCATGATGTGTATGTACCACATTTTCTTTATCCACATTTATCCAGCCCACCAGTGATGCGCATTTAGGTTGATACCATCTCTTTGCTATTGTGAATAGTGCTGCATTTAACATATGCATGCATATGTCTTTATGATAGAGTGATTTCTATTCCTTTGGGTACATTCCCAGTAATGAGACTGCTAGATTGAATGGTAGTTCTCAGTTCTTTGAGAAATCTCAAAACTGCTTTCCACTGTGGCTGAACTAATTTGTATTCCCAGCAGCAGTGTAGGCATTCACTTTTCTTTGCAACTATACCAGCGTCTGTTATTTTTTGACTTTCTAATACTAGCCATTCTGACTGATATGAAATAGTGTTTATTTCATTGTGGTTTTGATTTGCATTTCTCTAGTTTAACATTTTTTCATATGCTTGCTGGTCACATATACACACATAAATCTTTATGTTTGAAGGCGCAGGGCACTTTCAGTCTGAAAAAGACCCTTCTGGCTTCCTTGAGTTTATTTATTAACCTTCAGGTGGTTCAGTGATTTCCTTAGCACTTTCCCATATAATATCTTTGTTCGCCACAGCATACACAGGCTGTTAGAACTAACTAAAACATAATCTTTGCATTTTAATCTCTGTGACTTAAAATAGGCCCTAATCAACTCTAACTCCCATATGTTAAGTTGGTAAAAGTTTAAAAGGTATCTACATTTGATAGAGATATTGCAAACACAATACTCACTGCTGCCTCACTACATATCTCAAATTTTCAGCCTACAGGACGAAGACAACATTCTTTCTTGGAAGCTGTCAACCTTTCTGATATGAATTTCCAGCTGATGACTATTTCTTGTGGGAATTTACTATTCTAGTTGTAAGTCTCTGTATAAAGGTTAAAACTTAGTTCCAGCTTTTTTATATCCTCCTTTGAACCTGTTTTTGAAAAGACTAAGTACCAGCTGAAAGAAATACCTTAAAAATACATTATCTTTTAGGTGGCGTAAGTCAGTTTGGACAGAAGGCACATTGAAAAATGCTTAAGTATTATTTGTTCTTTTATAATTTCTTGTTTAGGTTTAGGACCTTTAGCCTAAAGAATGTCACTTCTTTCTTCTTAGTGTACCTCGGTATGATCAGCCACCTCCTGTCACTTACCAGCCACAGCAAACGGAAAGAAATCAGTCCCTTCTGGTACCTGCAAATCCATATCACACTGCAGAAATTCCTGACTGGCTTCAGGTTTATGCTCGAGCCCCTGTGAAGTAAGTACATTTACAGCACAAATTTGTTTGAGGAGTAAGTGAAGAGCTGAATGGAATCTCTGGGCTGCTTAAGCCAAGTAGTGTGCCATGGTTTACTCTTAGTAATATTGGGCTTCTAAGTAATACTTCACTCAAATAAAGGATATCATAGTTTATAATGTGTGAAAATCATTGATTAGAAATATTCTGCAAACATTTATAGAATCCTCATTTCTTTGTGTGCAGATCTCTGCTATTAGGGATACAAATAAAAAGCTTACATTCTCACAGGGAAGATTAATTGGTAAATAAGTGATACAGTACTTGTGATAAAAGTAAGGACCTGGGCACAGTGTCTCACACCTACAATCCCAGCACTTTGGGAGACTGAGGCAGGAAGATCTTTTAAGTCCAGGAGTTCAAGACCAACCTAAGCAACATAATGAGAGCCCTATTTCCACAAAAAAATTTTTAAAAATTAGCCAGGCTTAGTGGCATGCATCTGTAGTCCCAAGTACTTCAGAGGCTAAAGTGGGAGGATAGCTTGATCTCAGGAGTTCAAGATCAGCCTGAACAACATGGCAGGACTTTTGTCTCTACAAAAAATTTAAAAATTATCAGTGTGTGTGGCATATACCTGTGATCCCAGCTACTCAGGAGGCTAAGGTGGGAGGATTGCTTGAGCCCAGGAGTTTGAGGCTGCAGTGTGCTATGCTTATGCCACTGCACTCCAGCCTGGGTGACAGAGCGAGACTCTGTCTGCGCCCCCTACTACTGCCGAAAAAAGGAATGATAGCAGATGGCATTTTCTTTGCTATTTTCTTTCTTCTTTCTCCCTTGATACCACTTGACCTACTACTGTATACAGCCTATGTTTGTATGCTGATGCTAAATCATATGTAGTATCTGTATGCATTTTTATTTTCTTTAAATCTGGAAGAATATGTGCCCAACTGTTAACCTTGGTATTTCTGGGGGTGGATATGGTTGAGGAGAATTATTCTTCCTGTTGTATGTTATTTCTACTTTATAGTCATGTTTAGTAAAAATAGCATAATAAGTTTTCCTTTTGGGGGGAAGAGATAGTACTTAAATGGAACTCCTGGTTTCTTACGGAAAGAAACAGATTCCTGAAGATTATAGTCTTTTTCAATTCTGTGGTTCTGTGAGCTAACTATAAAACTCAAGGAAACTAGCAAATAGGTTGGAACTCTTCCAAAATGGGCCAGACTGACAAAAAGAGAGCAAGTACTATACTACTCTACTGCTTTAAAATCTTAAACAAGAGGTCTAGAAGCCTGTTCCTTTCTAGTTGATTCTAATTGATGTTTCTGAAGAGGATGGAAATGGTTAATACTCTTATCAACAAAGGGTGAATGGTTATCTATGAATTTGATAATGAAGAATCAATTACTTATCGCAACAAAGAGACATTTTTTGCCGAAAAATGTTTTGCCTGTTTCTTCCTTTTGTTTTTTTAGACAGTTGAGACTCTGAAATTGTGTAATCCTGAAATTCTTTCTTCCTATCTCTTGCAGTAATTTACCAACATAATTTTTGCATATACTTCTAAAACTTGATTTAGAAACAGATTAGGTTTTAAATTTTTATTTATTTAATTTTTGTCAAGTTATGTTCCTGTGTCTGCTCACAAAAGTCTATAATGCTTGGTATAGCTGTACTCAAGCTGAACTATAGGATAAAATTTTTAAATTTAATCATTGACTGGAAAAAGACTGTCAGGAACATATTTACTTTCTGTTATTTCTCACACACACACCAAAACACTAGTACTTAGCAGTGTGTGGCAGGGGTATTTTTTATTCCAATGGCTTGGCAATCCTGTAGTGTCACCATTGACCCCGCTCTAAATACAGGTGGAAAAGAGGGAAGAGTGGACACAGTGTTATGGTGGGTAGGTGCAAGGGACTTAGGCTACATGGTGATACCTGGAGCTGAGGATAGCAGCACTTTTGGTCTCAAAGTCAGCATCCACTGGAGTGTGGACAGGTTATTTTTGGTAGAATTATAGCAACTGGTGCCTGATATTTGAGTTATTTATAAGTAGTATTTGAATAGAACACTGCCCTGGGAAAAACACAGCAAAAGAGATGGTAGAAGCATAGACTATTGGAATGGTTTACACCCAATTTTCTGAATGATTTACCTGTTTATAAATGACTTAATGTTAAACTTGGGGAAGCAGATTTCTTCGCTAGTTAGGAAGGAAAGAATGGGAGTTCATCCTTTTCAGAAAAAGCAGGCACACTTAGGTGATTATAGGCAGAAGCGTAGTAACTATATAGAAGCAACAGAGGGAAGAAGTTGGAATGGAAATCCTATTTCCATTCCATGTTTTGCAGTTTTTTCACATCTGTACTCTTCTTAGAGGGTACTTTCTTCCCCCAAAAGGATTTTCTCTAATCTGAGTTTGTTGCTTCTACCCATAATGGTACTCTTGATGCTGAATGCTGATTGGCAAGTAAGAAACTTGGCCAGGTTTGGTGGTGCATCTGTAATCCCAGCTACTTGACAGGCCGAGTCAGGATTGCTTGAACCTAGGAGTTCTGGGCTGTGGTGTACTATGCCAGTCGGATGTCCGTACTGTTTGGCATCAATATGGTGACCTCCCAGGAGCAGGGATCACCAGGTTGCCTAAGGAGAGACGAACTGGCCCAGGTTTGAAATGGAGCAGGTTAATACTACTGTGCTGATCAGTAGTGGTATTGTGCCTGTGATTAGCCACTGTACTTCTGCCTGGGAAACATAGGAGATCTCCATATCTACAAAATTAAAAAAAAAGACAGTTTTGTGTCTGAGTGTTTCTGACAGTATCACTCTAATTTATGTTCACAAGTAGTTGGAGTTTCCCACTAAAAAGAAAAGAGCTTCCTACCAAAGAAATCTGTATCTATTAATAAATTTGCAGCTCTCAACTGAGTAAAATTGAGAGTCTAATGAAATATATTTACCTTCCAGTTTTTACATGTTGTTATTGACATTTCTGTTACATATGCTTAAGTAGGACAGAAACACGTCAAAATGCCAAGTACAGTGGCTCACACTAACTGCCCAGTATGTTTTCTGTCTCCTTTTTTTTGTTTTTCTCCTTTTTTTTAAAATCAGAACTCTTGAGCCAGTGTCTCCCTTTTTAAAAAACCTCATTTAAAAATATTAGATAGTCCTTTTGAAAGAAAATGGTATAATAAATATCAAAGAACCACTGGGTAGAAAATATTATAAATGATCATTAAAAATAATACTAGAGTCGGCCGGGTGCGGTGGCTCAAGCCTGTAATCCCAGCACTTTGGGAGGCCGAGGCGGGCAGATCACGAGGTCAAGAGATTGAGACCATCCTGGCCAACATGGTAAAACCCCGTCTGTACTAAAATTACAAAAAAATTAGCTGGGCATGGTGGTGTGCGCCTGTAGGCCGAGGCAGGAGAATTGCTTGAACCCAGGAGGTGGAGGGTGCAGTGAGCCGAGATTGCGCCACTGCATTCCAGCCTGGTGCCTGGCGACAGAGTGAGACTCTGTCTCAAAAAAAAACTACTACTACTACTACTACTAGAGTTTGCAATCAAAGCTTCCTATTATATCTGCTATGCAATATGATTTGAGAGGTATAACTTCAGGTACAACATGCCTTTCCCTAATTCAAGTTCTTTAGTATTAGTGGATATTAACATTCAAATCCACTACTTTGAAGCATGTTGGCCCAAGTTCTTTGCCTTTCTGAACTTTTATTCACTAAACACTTTTGCAAGAGGTAAAGAGCCTCTTTAGATTTTGGTGTTTTTCATCTTTAACATGAGAATATGAATTAGAGTGCTGTCTTTATCATATACTGAAATGGGACTGTGTAGGCAACTACTAAACTACTAAAGGTACTACTGCTAAGCAGCGATCTACTTACCACTGAGAGACTAATGGTCTTCCACAATACATTTGGGAATCCTTCACCACACTGTGAAGCCTTCTATAGTCTGCTTATTCTCTCATTTTAAAAACAGTTTATTCTTTCCTTCTTGAGTTTTCCTGTTGTACTCAGCCTCAAGAGTACTTAGAGGCCACAAATGATGCTTCCTCTTCATTTCTTCTTCTGTTTTGTTCCTTGTTTGCTGTTGTGAATAGCATTCCTCAGAAAGATCCATCAACATGAATGATGCAAATGACCACCCATTTTTGTGCATTATCATTTACAAGCACAGTGTGGTCTAAAGTATTCTTAAGTTCCTGACAAATAACTTTTGATGAACTTATAAATAGCACAAAATATGTTCTTCAGAAATTACAGAAACACTGTAGTGCGAAATCTGTGTTGATGGTTGTCTAGTGTTAATATTAGAATAATTGGTAATTTAAAGAAATAGATATTCTTTAAGTTAAATTGAAATGAAGTAATATTAGCAGCTTTCTCCTTTCCCTAAAAAAAAAAAAATATATGTAAATAGCAGTTAATAACTCAGTTTTTTAAAAAACTGATGTATTTATTTTTAGAAATGGGGTCTTGCTATGTTGCCCAGGCTGGCCTCAAACTCTTAAGCATAGCAATCCTCCCACGTCATCCTCCCAAGTAGCTAGGACTATACGTGCCACCACTGTGCCCAGCTACTCAGTTATTTTTAATTAGAGCTTATGGTTTGTTTAGTTATAAATAAAGTTGACATTTTAAAAAACAGACTAGTTTCTTGCTAGAAATACATGTTTACGTATGTGTTGTGAACATATATATGCTTGTGTTTTAAAACAGATATGACCACATTCTGAAGTGGGAACTCTTCCAGCTGGCTGACCTGGATACATACCAGGGAATGCTAAAGTTGCTCTTCATGAAAGAATTGGAGCAGATTGTTAAGATGTATGAAGCATACAGACAAGCTCTTCTTACAGAGTTGGAAAACCGAAAGCAGAGACAGCAGTGGTATGCCCAACAACATGGAAAAAATTTTTGAGCTGATTTTTTAAAAATAAAATTTAAGTTTTATAAGAGCTTTAAAATATTTTCACAGATAGAAAATAGCAAACAAGTACTTTGGTTAATAAACACAGCTTCCTTTGTGGAAATTATAAAATTCTAACTTTACATGTATTTTGTTATTAGAAATTTTCTTTTAGTGAACAAGAAAAATTAGTCTATAATTTTAAGAGCCAATATGGCAAACACTTTCAAGTGCTATATATTAGGAAACTGCTTTGGTATTCTTGATGGAAAAAATGCAGCAGGAAATGTCATTATGAACAGACTTTAAATAGGAAATTATCACTTGTTAACTTCTTATAGCAGTAGTACCTTTCTGGAAGGGATGGTTTAAATATTACCATGAGGTAGTTTAAATATAAAATAGGATTTGAAACCTTATTGTGATAAATATTTATATATGATGTATGTTTGTCTTCCCTCCTCCAAAGTAAGGGACCCAACTGGGGGAAGTGGTGGCTCATACCTGTAATCCCAGCACTTTGGGAAGCCGAGGTGGATGGATCTCTTGAGCACACCAGTTTGAGACCAGCCTGGGCAACATGGTGAAACCCCATCTCTACAAAAAATAAAAAAAAAATTAGCTAGGTATGATGGTGTGTTCCTGTAGTCTCAGCTGCATGGGAGGCTGAGGTCAGAGGCTGGCTTGAGCCCAGGAGGCAGAGGTTGCAGGGTCAAGATTGTACCACTTGCACCGCAGCCTGGGTGGGAGAGCCAGACCTTGTCTCAAAAAATAAGAAATAAAGAAATAAAAACAAAGTAAGGAACCCTTTTAAAGCATGTTGAGAAAATACTTTTTATTATGAATGGGTGATGGGCATTTTAATCTTTCAAGAGTACATATAAGCATAAGTACTTAGCCTGTTTGACGCAGGTGTGTGAAACTCAAAGTTGCTAACATCAACTTCCGTATTTTCAGCCAGGGCTGTTACTGCATTTAGCATGGCTCTGATGAGACAGTGGAGAGTTCCTGACAGCATAGCATACTGCCTTCTGACAGACTGGGCTGAGCTACCAAAAATGATAATCAGGGATTCAAAAAAAATTGGTTGTTAAATCGATTTTATATTATTACTTTTTAATCTTCTAAGTATTTGTCACAGGACTTTAAAACCATATATTTCCTTTGTAATTTTTCTCCCCTTTTGGATTAATAATTGTTAAAACACTTTTCATAATTAGTGCTGTACATTTGATTGCATACAAATTGGTGATTAAACTATAACTATAAATCTCTAGAATTCTGTGAATTTCAACATTATTTGAAGTAGTTCTTCAGTTATATATACATGTGTTGTAAATATGTAAATACACTTTTAGCTTAGGAAGTCTTTCAGAATACAAACTACTCCCAGTTATCAGTGAGTTTGAATTGTTGATGAAATGTTAAGAGTGTTAAGTGTTTGCTTTTATATAACAAGTTTATTAAATATATTTTTGTGGAAACTAAATGCGTGGTTTTTGAGTCCGTGTTTTAGCCATAGTGCCGTATTTCATTTTTGTGTTCAAAAGGCCATAGACAAAGGAATCAATATACTTGAAAGGGGTAATGAAAGGGATATTGTAAAGCATAAGTATGGCTAGTGGAATTTTATCATTGGGAAAGGTAATTTGCTGAACTTGTAATCAGACTTTTCTAAGGTATAAGTTTATATATCTTAAGGACTCACACACTCCTCTATCTTAATTGTTCTTTCCTGTCACTTATTAAGGTGTAGCCATTTCTGTGACAGTCTTTAGAAGTTACTCTGTTTTGGACCTCCTAGATAAATATTACTTTTTTCATTAACACTTTTTTACTTCCCTAAGAAGTCTGTTCAGTGACGCCACTAGAGATTTTAGTAATTAAGAACTAGAAGTTACCTATAAGAATTAGTACATGTTTTGTAAAATAGAAACTTGTTTGTAATGATGTCAACATTAAAATGCATAAAATGCATCTTCAGTCTAAAAAGATAAACCTCATCATTCTATATCAACACTTCTCATTTTCAAATTCTGTAAGCATTTGTTTTTAATCTTAGGAATCAGAGTAAATTTTAATAATAGTTCACATATTAAAAGAATAAACCTATGAAGAATACATTCTTTGTGTACCAAATGAAAAAATATATAATGCAGTGAAACTCACACATACAAAGTGATTTTTTGTGCATTTTTTATCAAGAGGTTTTATATTCTATTAAATCATGTAAAAGCAATATATAGTTTTTGATAAAGCAACTGAAAAACTCTTAAATGTGCTTAAAAATAAGACTGTCATATATATAAGATGATACAGATTAAATCAAGCCTACTGAGTTCTGATGGTATGCTTTAACAAATGGCTATGTGAAATAATTTAAAATTTTTTCTGTAGAAATTAAATGAGCATATCCAAACATGGAATATCACATAATTTAATTATGACCCAGTGGTAGAATTTAGTAAATTCAAGCAGAACACATGTACTGTTATCATAAATAGACAAATACTTTATAACAGCATTTTTGAAGAAAAATCAGGAAATTGTACATGTTAACAAAATAGTATAACCATGCATACATAAATCTGCTTATTAAAACACTGAAGTAAAAGAACTAATCCAGTTTGCAGTCTTCAAAGGTGTTTAGTATTTTACTCTGTTCTGATGGAAGCACTTTGAATGTTTGCATGGAGACATAAAACTGAATATTTAATTGATAATTGGTCATGCACCTGTACTTCTTAAAATTTGGATTACATTTTTTTCTTTTCTGATTGTTCAGTAGATTCCGACTTTGGTGTAGGAAAAGCTTGATGATACAGATGTCTGTGGGTTGCTGCTGCACTGTAAAGCTTGTACAAAGCCTAGAATAAAAGCATCACGATTATAAAACATAGTTATCGAATGCACAGATGTAAAATTTTTTCCTCTTCAGTTTGTACTGTATAAAATTTAGCATGTTGAATTGAAATCTTTTTTCATCAGTATATAAACGAATATCTTAAAACTTAAAAGAATTTTCAACTCCTCAATGTGTGCAGTAACACTTTTGTGTGTTGACCTTTGTGGTAAATGTTTTATTCTCAGACTTTGCTTCCTTTTACCTTGCATACCTCTTGGAGCGGAGAGCTGCTACTGTGCCCCAGGGGTGTGCTGAGAATTCAAATTGTGAATATTAGCAGTTTTAAATGAATTGTAAGACTTCATAACTTCTGATTGCCAGTTAACTATTATACATATGTAGTCCACTTGCTTTCTGGGCTTCCAATGTTTTCCTGAGTGGGACCAATTTTATTCTCCATCATTTACTGATACAGTCATACAGCTAAGCACATATGGTGACCTTCCCCCAGCACACTAGGATTCTTCACTTTATATGCTCTTGCCTTGTTTCCATGACTTAGCTAATATTTTACAAACCTTATTCAAAAACATTACCTCAGCAAGCTTTCCTCATTTAAAACAACCTCTTATTCTCTGTGGCCTTTTAATGGCATTTGAATCATAGGAATGTCTGTGTATTGTATATTGCTTTATATAAGTGTTCATAAATAATCTTTGTTTCCTGCCCGCCTCAGCTAGTGTCTAAGATTTCAACCCCTCCTCTGACTTTCACATACCTAATAGTCGTTAAAAACAACTTGTCTGAATTAATTCTGGAGTTTATAAAGAGTCTTTGAATATTTTTAAAAGCTGGATGAAAGCTGGAGATCCATTAAACAGTAATCTGTTCCCAGGAAATTCCATTAATTTTTATCATATGTGAATCTGTATAGCTACTTTCTTTTGATTCTCTTTTTTTTTTTTTTTTTTTTGAGTTGGAGTCTCATTCTGTCACCCAGGCTGGCGTGCAGTGGCATGATCTTGGCACACTGCAGCCTCCACCTCCCAGGTTCAAGCTGTTCTGCCTCAGCCCCTGCTAGTGGCTGGGACTACAGGCAGCCACCACCACGCCAGGCTAATTTTTTGTATTTTTAGTAGAGATAGAAATTCACCATGTTGGCCAGGCTCGTCTTGAATACCTGACCTCAAGTGATCCTCCTGCCTCAGCCTCTCAAATTGCTGGGATTACAGGCGTAAGCCACTGTGCCTGGCCTTGATTTTCTTAAGACAGACATTAAGTCTGAATGGTACCATCTTCAAATCTATAAATATATGTTGGTGTAACATAGTTTCATCTTCCATTATATTCTGATTCTAAGGCATTCAATTTAATTCTAATTCTCTTTTATTTTTTTCTTAAGCTTTTACAAAGTTGAAATTTGATTTTGCTTTTTTAATAAACTTGCTTATTAAATTTTACATAAAATAACTTCTTAGTGACTTGTAAATATTAAATGGTATTTGGTTCAAAGACATAATCCAGTTATATGCCACAGTAGAAACTAAGGAAATAATTATGTGTGATGTCTGTAGTTGTTCAAGATCAGCTTTGCTTCCTGAAGATAATGACCTCTAAATGATTCCAGAGTAATAATTTTTCTTTTAGTGTAACAGATGATTATTTCGTGGGTGCCTTGAGTCTTTTCTGAGATAAGTGGCGTTGTTGCCCATGTGCAGTAGGAGAAATGAACAGTAATTTACAGGTCAGGCCTGAGGCCTGCCAAGAAAGTTAGAATACGTACTGGCCTGGGCCCTGCTTGAAGTGGTATGCATTACTGTCAGTCAAAAGCCAAAGTTAAAAATGACTTCTAAAGCGACATTTAAATACCCTCCAGTAGTTATATTTCCTCAAGTTCATAACTGCTTGCTTTACTCTGCAGTAGAGCAGAGTCCACCATTTCAGAGCTTAAGAATTTTAAAATTTTCTACACACTCAGGAAACAAATGCTCATCATAATCAATTCTTAACGTTTTTTTTTTTTTGTGTGTGTGTGTAGATCAAATCATACATGATGTCTAGAATAAGTTAAATATTTTAAGACCATGTTAAAAATTCACAATTACAAATTTAACTGTTAGAAGTCACCAAAGATTGTTCTAGTCTACATAAACACATCTTGTAATAGCTAGTCAGTTTATAAAATAAGAATATCATAATGTTTACAAATACATAGCTCTGAATTTTAAAAATTTAACTTACCTCATTTGTACTTCCCTGTGGCAAAGGCAGATTAAAAAGAAAAAAGAAAAGTATATATCCCGCTTTATTAACGGCATTATAATATTCAACTTTGCTTACAATATTTGTGAGCATTTAAGAACAGAACAAATACTCCTGCAGATTTTTCCATTTAGATGACATATTTTATCAGAATCTTTGAAGAACTCAATTCTGTATTCCTCATAGTTTTTAGCATAACATATTATAGGAGGGTTTTGACATTGACCTCAAGTAACCCCTCTTAAATCT